GTATTCAATGCTGAGACTCAATTTGCCAAAAGCAAGTCGTCACTTGGGGAACGGGCAGGCCACTGCCTCACCTTACGCCAACACGGAGAGCCAGACGGCCGAGCAATCATCACGCCCGAGCCCACCGCCCGTGATGAAAGTTAAACAGGTCAGAGCCCGCCTGCCTTCCAACAAACTATCCACGCGCAAGAAGGAAGTTAACGTTAATTGTCGCTGTGTGTTTGCATTGATGACTGTATCCTATAAATACTGCAAACTTCTGTGCATGCAGTACCCGTTTCTGCTACTGTTTCCTACTCATTTCTCTGATGCTGAGTCCGCGACGGATGTCGAAACTTCAGGCGAATAAACGTATTGTCCCAGCGATCGAGTCTTCTTCTCAGTTGCTTCTTGGGACTCGCATGTTCGCTTGTACTGACGATGTACAAAATTTTAGTCCTGACGAGCCCCTGCTAGATGGAGCAGAAACCTGGACCGTAAACTCCAAATAAACCAGGACGTTCAAGTACTTTCACCTCAGTATATGGAAGCTAAGATGACAGGACGATATTTCAGGCTTGGAAGTTCTGGGAGGCACCGAAATCCTCAACCTGCACGCTGCGCTGGGTCAACTCCGATTGTGATGCGCCAGCCGCCTGGGGAGGATGGACGATTAGCGATTATCCGAACACTTCATGCAGGGAGCACAGTGGGAAGCTATGAAGACACATTAAAGAAATTTATGAAACAATTATAAATCAACCCGAGCCCCTGCAAGGACCTCGCCCGGGGGAGACGTCGCTTGACAACAGCAGTGATGGTAGGGGCGGCAAACTGGGTTGCTGTAGACAAAGCAAAAAAGGGCAGCTTGAAGGTCACAAGCGCTTCCGAGTGCGGCAAATGCAGCGCAAGTCTACTAGCACATCACGCACAAAGCAAAGTCCTTGCGTCAACGTGCCGTTGGACAGACGGTGGACTTTGTCAGAATTGATGACTGGACTATCACTGTGTAGACGAAGGCATCATTACGGTCCGCCTCTCGATTGACAGGCCCCTATTCAGACTTCACAAATTTAGCGCTCTCCTGCGTCCGTTCATGTTTTTGCCATGTATTTTTTTTAGTTGCTGCTCTGTCAGGCTCGCAACTGTCACGTACGTTGACAGACAGGAGACGCAACTTTGTATTTTCTGGTGCTTCCAGATCACGGTAATTCCGTAAGCTGGGGACCGTCCTGTCGCACTCTTTCTCTAAATATATATTCACCTAGAAATGGGTGAGCACTGATACAATTGACTTCCCGAAGTAAAAAAAATTCGCGTTGTGGCTAGGGATCACTAAACGGGTGACCGTCTACCAGGTCGATGCCGGCCAAGTCATAATAACCAAGTATATACGAAGGAAAGCACTTTTTGGGAAAATAAGATAACTTTATTGACTAAATTTTTGACGCTGTTACCCCAGGTCTTCGTTAGACTTTAGAAGAAGTGCAACGAACAATTAAAATGTCAAAAGTGTTGGTACAATTATAAAGTCATCTGGTGTGAGCGCTAGTTGGCAGATGCAATTAGAGTCATTCCGTGGTGGACAAATTAATGGTCGTACTAGCGTAATTGGTAATTAACAACTATAATTTGCGTCAGTCTGGAGTAGAAAATTACAGGTCATCCGGCATAGGATGTCGTGGATGCCTGCCTTCCAATTCATACAAATATACAGGGTGTCCCGAAAAAATGTATACACATTTTAAGTTATTGTTAACTTGGTGTTAATTACAATTTTTTATCTCAAAAACGTAAAAATATTTAAAAATATCATTTTATTGTTTTTTCACTGCATTTCGACTATTGCAACAGTGGCTGAATTGAGCAAAGCCACCGAACATGAATGCACCCGAATACTAAGGAAATTGTTTCATGGTATGTGCGATTCCATTGCTTCGCGTTGTCAGCAGTGTCA